TTTTGTAGCTAAATAATGCGTCTTCATCTTTTTTCTTTATTGAGACTCCTAACATTTGTCTTATTAACGCTTCTTGATTTGCCAACAAATTCTAAAGATTGACCAATGAAGGTTGTTTTGGCCAACCTTGTATTGCGGTAATAAAACTTCAAAATTCAGGTCTCAAACCATTTATAATTATTCTTCTCATTCTAGACTTTGAAATCTTACTTGAAGCGTCTAACTCATAAATTTCATGACAGGGATATTTAACTTTATTAAAATATTGACTTACCGTCAACTCTCCTTGAGTAATTTAGAAAAGCTCATTCTCCAGAAGCTATAACCTCAAATCATTTTTCCTCGAGAACAATGAGGCCAAGGTGTCTCGTACTTCCTTTGGTGTGTTCTTATCTCTTATGTGCTCCAATAATTCTTCTTCAATTGTTGTTTTTATAACGAACAAAGCCTTACCTACTTTGATTCTCCACTTCTTCAGAGCTTCGACCTCTTCTGGCAACGTCACATTACTTTCGTCAACTATCTCCCACAAGTTTTGTTCTTGGACATGTGACTCCATGCAAGTTTGCCATGTGGTATAATTATGATTATTGAGCTTCTTTATTCCGTCTACCACTTGTAGGTCACCAATCGTAACTTGATTTATCTTCTCGTAATCAAACAAGCTTTATGAAAGCGTCACAAACTTCTTTTGTGTACAAACTCAAGAAGCTTAAAAATCTTTCCTCATCCGCCTCGCTTTGATACCAAATTGTTGAGTTTAAACCACAAAAGAAAATGATTTTATTGATATCAAATCACTTACACAATTTAAGATACACACCACTAAACGGAGTACTAATTACTCTTACTTTATCTTTGCACACTTTTTCTCATCACTCATGCATACATAGTCACCTTCAATTTATACTTATAGTTATAAGTGTTAATGGATGATTGTGGATGGTTCTAGTATGGTGGTGATAGTAATTGGATTCTTCTAGTATCTTCTAAGCATGGATGCATTCTAAATTTTTCTAATATCTTCTAGTCATGAATCATCACCAATTTTCTAGAAAATTCTTGACGTTTCCTTATAGTTGGTGATTCTAAATAATTCTCAGTGGAGATGATTATTTTGCATGTTCTAGATGATTCCAGGTCTACTTGGAGAAGAAGCATCAAGAAATGGATTGTAGCATAACTAGAGAATTCTAGCGAGTTCCATAAAAGTTGATGTTGTATATTCAGCTAAATCATTTTAATCTACTCCACCACCTAAAAGGAAAGCTACATGGTAAGAAGAGGGCAAACAAAGGTGCGAGAATTTAGAAACCCATATTCCAGTCAGTTGGTCGACACCTCCCTCTCTAAGAGGTAGAGCCTACGGAGTGCTTGGTACTCTTGATTCTGATCAAGACCTTTTCAAGTTCGATACATTTACAAGAGGTAAAACTATTGCTCTGGATTGTATCCGATTAGACTAAATTTGTGTCCTTTACTATACATTGAAAATTTAAAGAGGAGTTTAAAGTGGTTCTAAAAGAATTTGTAAGAGTAGGGTTATATGAATTTGTTAGTTTTCATAAGTTGGAAAAGTAGTTAACCTTTGATTGAAAATTCAATGAAACCATTGTTAAGGAGTTTCATTTCAACATCCCCAATAATATTGGTAAGACTGGAAATCCCCTTAAATGGAGGACCTATCACCTATATGAGGGGGAGATTGATCACTTTTAGCCCATCAGTACTTAAGGACCGCCCAGGATTGTTGACGTTGTTGGGGATAGTAATGATAAATTTACAAATGATGCTGTGGCCTTGGAGTTAAATGGGATGAAATGGCCAGACAAAATTCAAAATCTACCTGCCTCCGGACTACTACCAAAATACAAAATTCTTTTCAAAATTTTGATCCATAACCTTGATTCACTTACCCACCACTCTGACTTATCTCATGAAACGGTTGTGATGTTGTTTATATTTGGGACAAAGGTTGGTCTGGACTTGATTAAGTTGATGTTTGAAAAAAAAAATATGCAAGAGGGACCACAAAGAGTAAAGCAGTACAAGCTACCATACCCTAGCTTGATCCACTATTACTCAGCTAATTTGGGCATACCTGCGCTACCAAGATTAATGTAGTTAATTATGTCTCTCCTAGAAGTTGGTTAGCTACCTCTCATTTTGTTCTAGGATTATCTAAATTTCTATTTTTGTAGAATATGAGGATACACAAAAACACCAATTGAAAGATCAAATAACAGAGACATTTTCGAGAAAAGAATGACTTTTCCCGGATGAGATGAAAATTAGATTACAAAAGGATTTTCCACAGCTATACCCATTTTGGGTGTTTGAATTTGCTAATTTAGATGGCACATCGAACCCAATCTCCAAGATCCCAGGGCATGTAGTACATTTAGAGCATTTTGAGAGGTTGGATATCCTTGAAGGATTGCTAAGGATAGTAAAAAATCAAGTTGGTTAAATTTTCCTGAAAACTAAAAAATTTACTGATGATTTTAAAGTGATTTGCATGATATTAGAAAAATTTGCTTACTTTGGAGATGGAAGGCTGAAAGAGGCATGGGAGAAGAGCACTCATTGGATTCCTAGAATATCAGCAAGAAGAGCTTTTAGGAACCACTGTTGTACCAGATGCAGGTACTAGCTAACTAGGACGGCCGTCCTAGCTAGATTCGTCGGAACCGTCGAGTGTCGGCACTTCTCAGACTTCAAATTTCGTTGGTTGTTAGCTCGCTATTGCTATTGAAGTGTTGCTGACTTGCTGTGTTGGGCCTCTCTTTTTAAAAAGAAAAAAAAATCAACCCCAAATTAAAAAAGTCCAAATAAACATTTACCTATTATAAGGTCCATAACGCATAACCAGATTACTTTCCCAATTCCATTCCACTACCGCCGAGTACAACAGAGGGCAGAGGCAGTGGAGTCTCCATTCTCCATCGACCAGCAAAGCTTTTCTTTCCCAAATCAGTCCCGTTTTCGATTTCCCTCCCGACAAAATAGGTAGCCAAAGAGATCAGAGAAGAGCAAACCCTTCATGAGTTATTTCCCCATATCACTGTTCACACATTATTTACATTTTTTTTCCTAGCATGTTTATTGTTTAATTATTGGTTTTTTATTTTAGTTATTTGTTATGCTCCATGTTTGATTTGTATTGATTTTTAGGATTTTGAATTGCTTCAGCTTCGGTTCGAGGCTTACTTATTGTTTGGGGATTTTATTAAAATTGGTTCTATTGTGATGTAAATGTTCTCTGTTGAGTAGTTTAGAGATTTGTGGTTTTATTGAATCATTGAATGAACCTACTTGTTTGATGAATTGGTGGTTATCGTGGTTTAGAAATCGGTTTTATTGAATCATTGAACCTAAGGTTTAGAGATTTACTTATTATTTGGGGATTTTTTTTGTTGGTTGTTGATGTTTTAATAAATTGTAATTGAAAATTAAATTGAGGCATCTTGCAAAATATGGAACGATTTTTTTCAACCGAAACAAAAGTCTATACCTAGTTCTCCTAGTTCTAGTTGTACTTCTAGTCCTGCCACTGGTTCTAGCCGAGTAAACGAGTTGTTAAATAACAAAAAGAAGTCTCATGCTCAATTCAATATGGATGATCTTATATCTGATCCAGGAAAATACCACCTATTGAGTCATATGATCCTAATATCAGAGATGATGTTATGATGACATACTTGGAAAAAGGTCAATGTTAACCACATGGACATGACTTTCCAAGAAGACTGGACATGAAATGATAATAGCTATTTTCGAAAAGAATAGTTTTCTAAATTTTATTGTTTACATTGCTACTTGTTCAAACCAAATAGAGGGGGTCAATGGGGTGGACATATATTCACTAAGACCTGCTTTAGGGATTGGAAGCACAAAAATATATTGAAAGATCATGTCGGGCTTGTTGATAGTGCTCATAATCAAGCTTTTGCAAAGTGTACCAACTTGATGAATCAAAAGCAAAGTATCTTCTATGTTATTTTTAGCCAAAGTAGTAGTCAACAAAAAAGTTATAGGACAAGGTTGACTGTGGTGCTAGATTGTACTAGATTCATCTTGATGCAAGGATTGCCATCTCGTGGTCATGATGAATCTAAAGTGTCTCTTAATAAAAGAAATATAATTGAGCTACTTAATTGGTATATAGCTCGTTGTACGAAAATTAATGAAGTAGTATTTAGTAATGCTCTTGGAAATGACCAAATAACTTCACCAAGCATAAATAAAGATTTGGTTAATTGTTGTGTTGTAGAGACATCAAGGTCCATTATCAATGAGATTGGTGATTCTTTGTTTTCAGTTTTGATTGATGAGTCTCGTGATAATTCTATAAAAGAACATATGACAGTTGTTTTGAGGTTTGTTCACAAAAGTGGTCAAGTGAATGAGCGTTTGTTGGGTATTTCCCATATCACTGATACTTGTGCCTAGTCACTCAAGGATGCCATGATGCAATGTTTTCTACACATGGGCTAAGCATATCTAGCCTGAGAGGTCAAGGTTACGATAAAGCAAGCGATATGTCAGTCGAGGTCAAAGGCTTAAAAGCCTTAATTTTAAGAGAGAACCCATATGCTATGTATGTTCATTGCTTTGCCCACCAGCTTAAGTTGGTAGTTGTTTCTGTGGCACATAGGAATGTTATGCTTGGTGATTTATTTAACATACTTGCTATTATTGTGAAATTGGTTGGTACATCATGTAAACATGTAGATACTCTTCAAACAAGTTATCATTCTGAAATTGTGGAGAGGCATAATATTGGGGAACTTTCTGGTGGAACTGGTCAGTTTCAAGAAATGAATTTGATACGCCCAGATGATACTAGAGGGGGCTCACATCTATAAACAACTACTCGCTTTATTAGTATGTTTAATGAGATCATAGATGTTCTTGAGAATATATGAGAAGACGACATAAGTTTAAAACAAAAATCGATGGCCATAAGTTTAGAACAAAAATCAATGGTCGTATGACATATGGACGTTGTGCAAGATTTTCAATTTGTGTTCAATCTCCGTTTTATGTTTGAAATTCTTGCAATTGTAGACAACCTTTCACAAGCCTTACAGAAAAATGATCAGGATATTCAAAATGCTATGAGGTTATTAAAGTTGTGTAAGTACGCATTGCAGAACATGGGAGACAATGGTTGGGATACTTTGTTGAGTAAGATAATTGAGTTTTGTGTTAATAGACATATTTTAGTGCCCACTATGGAGAATATTGTAGTATTAAAAGGTCGACCTAGGCGTACAACTCAGCAAGAGACTTATTAACAGCACTTTTATGTTATGTGATAGATTCAATCTTGTAAGAGTAGAATGATCGATTGAGATTTTTACTTGCATTTTGTGTTTAAGTCCAAGAGTTTCATTTGCAGCTTTTGATGTATGTAAGTTGGTACGTCTTGCTCAGCTCTATCCTTTGGATTTCAGTAGTGAAGAGCTTTTATTACTTAGACCTCAACTTGACAAGTTTCTTATGCTCGTGAGAATGGATGAAGCTTTCTTCAACCTCAAAACCATATCTTGTATAGCTCAGAAGTTGGTTGAAACTGGAAGTTCTTGTTATTTTCTATTGGTTTATAGAATGATCACATTGGTTTTGATATTATCTGTGGCAACTGCAAGTGTTGAAAGGGTATTCTCTGCTATGAATTTAATCAAGAATGATCTACGCAACGAAATGGAAGATGAATTGTTGAATGACAATTTGGTGGTTTACATGGAGAAAGATCTTTTTATATAGAACTTGAGAATGAGGTAATATTGTATATTTTTTTGGCATTTTGGGTTGTATTCGACTATATTTTCATATGTATATATAATTTCTATGTTTTAGTGCATTTAAATATATATTAAATAATATTTAATATTATTTAATCAAATTTTAATAAACGATCGGTCGCACGACCGAACCAAGCTTTTAGGATCGTTGATTGTCGACGGTCAACAATCAAAGTCAATCTCCGCCCTAGCTGAATGTTGATGCTGGATTCATCCCTGACTAGATGCCATTGCAAGTCCTTCTGGTGCTACGTCAGAGGCACATGGGTTTTGAACTCTCTCCAGACCAAGACTAATGCTATTGACACTTATGCACCCATTTCACCCATAAGCCTGATGGTGATTCCAAAAAGCAATGATGATATCTGGTTCTATCTTCCTGACCTCTAACTCTTTGCTCTAACTATTTGTTGGTTATGTATAACTTTTTCTAACTATTTGGTTGGTATTTTCCATCCCCCATCTTGATAGTGTACTCTAGATTTCAAAAAATGGGAGATTAGGTATTGATAGTTAATGAATGAAAAGCATGAAATTAGTATACAGTATGTAGTCGCAATTTGAATTGGTTTAAATTTGATGGACTTCTCAGGTTGCAGTGTTGATGTATTACTATATACAATTGTTGCTTTACTGCAATACTATTTATTTTAGATTTCTTATATATTATATGAAACTTGATTCATGATTTTCATTTCATAATTGTATGAGTTAGTGGGAGTTGTGTGTTCTATGAGTGAACTAATTAAAGAGGAGCAGTACATAGTTCATGTGCATGATTTGATCAACGCTCAACACACGTTCACAAACATGTCACTAAAAATTCAAAATTGATTTTTGAAATTAAGCTAACTCAAAAAGGGAAATTGTTGAAAAAAATATATTTTTACATATTATTTTTATTGGCTTACTTAATATAGATTGATACAGGTCTAAATAGGCAATAGAGATGGTAGTGGGGCAGGTTCGGGATGGGGGATTGCCCTGTTTCTTGTCCCGTTTGTTTTTTGTTTTTTTATTTACATTTTCAAAATTTTGAGTTATGCTATTATTAGAGAACAAAATACAAATTCAAAAATTTAAAATCCGAAGCAAATAATGTTCAAACAAACAATTTTTTTTTTTTTTTTATTTTAACTTTTTCACAGGGCGGGACAAGTTATTTTGCCATCTCTACCAGACAATGTACTAAGTAGATGGTGAGCTATTTCGACGTAATAATGTGGCTGTAGATTTTAGAGTTTTAACACTCAAAACAGGAAGCGATTTTTAGTTACATATTGCAGCAAATACAGAGTTAATCATTTACTATCCTAGATATTATTTGATAGGATATTTAATTAAAAATAAGGAAAGATTGGTTTAATGTTAAACTTTTCTTAAGTTTATTTATTACCATATCAAATAAATTTTGTATGATATGACTGTATATTTACTATGTTTACTTGTTGATTTTTAGGTAAGTTTTAATTTGAAAATTGTGCGTTGCTTTACATAAGTAAAGAAAGAAATCAACAAATGGATTAACTGCTTTGAAAAATTCTTACACTCGTCCTTGACATGTTGTGCAAAGGATTGTCGGGTTCATGCAAGGCAAAATGGACTCTATGCTACATTGGTTATATTCAAAGCATATTGCTATTCTTCAACAATATTTGAAGAAAACAAACAAGAGCATGAATGTTCAATCATATTCAAAGATTAAGCGGCTTGACGTGAGTTAATAACAATTACTCTTAAACCAAGTGGTGGTTACAACCGAGTTTAATAAGTGGAGATAAAGTCAGGATTAAGGGACTTGATTCCACTTTTACAACAAGTCAAAGAAGAAAACAAGGGAGTTGTTAATAGATTTCTTTTCATTATTAGAGTATTTTCAAGAGATTCTTTATTTTTAAAGAGTATATTTTATCATTTAAAAAATATCTATAAATTTAGAGAGTAAAAATTTTGAAGCACTCCAATAGACTCTTTATATTGAACACGTAATTTTATTACTCCCAAAAATATTTATTATTTTTTTGATATTTTATTTTAACTAACTTTTCTTTAAATTATTATATTATTTTCCTACATTGAAAATTAAAATATTTTAAATGCATTTAATTATAGAAAATGGGTTTGGCTCTCCAAATTTAGAGAGTCAAACTCATTTTCCAAATTAAAATGTTAATTTAAAAAGTCTCTTAAAATATGATTTTAAAGATTGACTCTTTAAAAATAGAGAGCATTTCATATTTAAAGAATCACTTGAAGATTCTCTTATATGTTAATTTTTCGAAACTACAACTGAAACTATTATATCTTGGATCGTTTGATTTAGTGAACTGTTTGACCTTTGGCATGGGGCCCATGAAATATTTGGTGTTCTTATTTTAATAGATTAGTTAATTCTGGCAATTAATTAAAAACTCTAAACACTGATAAAATTTACATATTGCAGTCAGAATTACTGAAAAATTGGTTATAGGTTATTCTAAGTGTCGGCAAATCTGCTTTTTAAACTGAATATTTAAAATGGATTTTTAATTTCCTAGGTTTTAGAATTTTTTGTTTTGACGATGCTTCTTTTTATAGACAAACGGAAGGAGAGAAGAGAAGTGCTGACGGACAGGGCCAAGTCTGTCCAGGGCATTAATGGGGGCGCCTGTGGGGTGCCCTGTTTGGACGTGGCCCTGTCCAAGAAGATTTAATCAAGAGAAAATTAGGAAGGAAAATACTGCTTTGTTAGATTTTGGTGAGGCGGGAGAAAAAGGTTTTGATAATTTCTGATGGGGTTTATTTGGAATTTGGGTTACCTTTAAGGGGTATTTTTTTTTCCCACTTTTACAAAAGGTTTACTTGAAGTTAGTGTTACTTTTTGTGCGGTTACTTTTTAACTTTTTTTCACTAAATTTTTATCTTCAACTTTTCATTAATTAACACATTTCTTTCTTGATTATGATTTATATTAAAGTATTTTATATTCATATTTTGAAATGAGAGAAAAATATTTTCGTACATTTTATTTTTTATTTTAAAACTTTTGGATGTAAAACTATTATTGAATACAAAATGTATTCACTAATAAGAAGTTTGACGATAAGAATGGTATGAGATAAGTATTATAATAAACAAAAACTAAGACCCTTGAGTACAATTAAAATGCAGTACAAGAAATAAAAATTATGGTGTGAATATAATTACCTTACTTTTTGGCAGTATTTGGATCCAACTTTTACTGAAATTGCCTGACCACTTTTTTAAACACCTTTCAAAAGTGATTACTCCATTTAGGTTTCATTTTTTCCTTCTAATATTTTTTTTAAAGACAAATATGAATTTTAATCACATTTTTTTAGGACCACAAGTATTACTATCTATCAATCACTCATCTCTTAAAAAAAATAAAATTTTATCAAAACAAAGTGAAATTCAAAAATAATTTTCTTTATATTATTTCACTTTTCAAGCAAACAGCTTACGATTCACTGCATTTCCTAGCTTATTTAGCCTTTGTTTGGCTCCTACATTTTAAATGTTATTTTTTAAAATGTATTTTCAATCACACAGTTCATGAAACTTACAACTTTTCCAATTTTTTTTTTTTCACCTTTTATCAAAATCTATTAAAAATAATTTTCATCGGAACCAAACGGAGACTTATTATTTTATGTTTCTGTCCTGGTCAATGCCAGGAAGACTTGTGTCCCCTGGCTCTTGTACAGTGGGAAATCATCTCTACAAAGTGGAATCACGCTAAAATTTTAGGTTTATGTTCAAGTCAATGTTATTAGCCGCCTGCACAGTGTACTCTCACATACTTTCTTAGCCACCAATTGAGAAGCCTTCCCTCTTGAGCAGAAAACTGGTATGGCGTATTCTGCCCTTCTTTCTCTTAGTCACGTTCTTGAGAATACGCTGCATCATGATGATCGATATCTGATTCATGATGAGAAACAACAAACCCCATTTCTTCTAGAAAAGGTGCGTATCTTACTAGATTTTCTTGATAATTATTCACAAAAAAGCATCAAAGCAATAGAAAGTTTAGGCATCAAAGCAATAGAAGGTTTAGAGAGTCGAATCACGGATGCAGCATACAAAACAGAGGATATCATTGAATCCCACATCAGGCGTCGAGTTTTTGAAGAATCCAAGCATCAGAAGGAGAAGAATTTCTTTAGTATACTCCAGGATGAACTAAAAGAAATAGATGCCATCATAAAAGAAATCGATCCCATCAAAAAAAAGGTAAACAACATGGAGGACGAGACGGATGTACGAAATCTGCATCCACGGACTTCGTCGCTTGTTGCGTCATCGAAATCTGCGAGAAATCTCGAGAGTATAATGGTGGGTCTTGATGATAACATGATGAAGATCAAGGATCAGCTCACCGGGGGACCATCAAATCTTAGAACTGTTTCCATTGTGGGAATGGGCGGAATAGGTAAAACTACTCTCGCCAGAAAAGTTTATGAAGATGAATTTATTTTGTCTCATTTTCAAATTCGTGCTTGGGTGACAGTATCTCAAGACTATAATATGAAAGAAATCTTTCTAAGCCTCTTAGATTCGATGGGAAAACCCACTAACCAGAATCGTGAAAAAACCACTGAAGAATTAAAACGGCTTTTTCGCGAGAATCTAATGGGTAGGAGGTTTCTCATTGTGATGGATGACGTCTGGGACACCAAAGTTTGGGATCATGTGAAGCGATTGTTTTCAAATAACAATGATGAGAGTCGAATCATGATGACAACTAGGGAAGAAAATGTGGCCCGTAAGGCAAACTCTTGTTCTCCTCATCGCATGAGTTTTCTAACCGAGGAGGAAAGCTGGAGTTTATTTTGTGCGAATGTTTTTGGAAAAGATCGCTGCCCTCGTGAACTCAAACCTATCGGTAAGAAGATAGTCCAAAATTGTCGAGGACTGCCACTTGCAATTGTTGTGATTGCTGGACTTCTCTCGAAGGCCACGAGAACAGTACATCACTGGACAAATGTTGGAGAAAATCTGAGTTCGGTGATAGCTTCAAACGATGAGCAATGCTTAAAGATACTATCTTTAAGTTACAAGAATTTACCTCATCATTTGAAAGGATGTTTCCTTTATTTCGGAATCTTCCAAGAAGACTCGGATATCAATGTCTCCACACTTTTCAAGTTATGGGTTGCCGAAGGATTTATAAAATCAGCGGAAAACAAAACTTTGGAAGATATGGCTGAGGAAAGCTTATTAGATCTTGTTGATCGGAATCTTATTTTGGTTTCTGAATGGAGTTCCAAAGGTAAAATCAAAACATGCATGATCCATGATCTGTTACGTGACCTATGTGTGAAAGAAGCTCAAAGGGAGAAGTTTTTTCATATCACGGACAGTAATCTCCATGGTATGCCCAATGGCATTAGCCTGCGCCGTTTAATCTTACCAAGAGATGTAGATCATCCTACCAGAAAACTTCCGCCTTTTCTTTTGCGATCTCTTCTAAATTTTGGTAGGTATGTTCCGGTAAAGTTGTTAACTGGTATGCTAGTCAGAGTGTTGGATGCGGGGCATATAACTCATTATCCAACTGAAATGGCAGGACTAGTTAACTTACAGTACCTCGCTTTCAGCTACGATAATGGGAGGCTTCCTGCATCAGTATACAAACTCCGATATCTACAAACCTTAATTCTTTACGACACCACAGTTCCAGTATCTCTTACACCCGAACTATGGACGATGACACGGTTGAGGCATCTCCAGTTGGGGGAAATGATTCTTCCTGATCCTCCTAAAGCAGAAAATTCTGTTATCGTTCTTGAAAACTTACAAACGCTCTCCACTGTGATAAAATTCAGATGTACAGAGGAGATCCTGGAAAGGGTTCCCAATCTCAAGAAATTGGGAATCTGTCTGGAAGATGTGGGTTTGGAATACTTCTATCTCAAGAATCTCGACCATCTACATCAACTTGAATCTTTGAAATTCTTATTTCTCGTGTCGATGCCATCTTTCTTGGATAACATCATTTTCCCGTCTTCACTAAAAAAATTAACTTTAGATGGCAGCTGCTTCAAATGGTAATGTGGAAAGATATAAAGCTCGTCTTGTGGCTAAAGGCTTTACCCAAAAGGAAGGTATTGACTTCAAAGAGACTTTCTCTCCAGTTTCAACGAAAGACTCTTTAAGGATAATTATGGCACTTGTTGCGCACTTTGACCTTGAGTTACATCAGATGGATGTCAAGACGGCGTTTCTCAATGGCGACATTGATGAGACAATTTATATGGTGCAACCAGAAAACTTTGTGTTAGGAGACTCGAAGAAAATGGTTTGCAAATTAAAGAAATCCATCTATGGGCTCAAGCAAGCTTCCCGTCAATGGTATCACAAATTTCATCAGGTCATTATCTCATTTGGTTTTGAGGTAAATGTCGTTGATGATTGTGTGTATCACAAGTTTAGTGGGAGTAAGCATATTTTCCTGGTTTTGTATGTTGATGACATACTGCTTGCCACTAATGATATAGGCATGTTGCACGAAACCAAGAGATTTTTATCAAGAAATTTTGAGATGAAAGATCTTGGTGACGTC